TAATCATTATTCTATCTAACATAATATAAAATGATTAATTCTGTTCTTAAAATTAATCCAAAGGATATATTCGCAAAATACAAAATTTCTGTTCATTTTCATTCCTCAGAGAAATAAATTATAATCATCATTATTAAAATTCAATTATTATTTGTACTTTTTGTTTGTGAAAGCAAGAAACTAATGTTATACATACATACATAAATTTTGTGAATAATATGTTTTTAATATTAATAACAATAAAGAATAAAATATGAAATAAAATAAAATTGTATAGAAAAATAAATTTAACCAAATTATATTTTTGTTCTATATCAAAAAATCAACGACATTGAAGCAACACACGATTTCCTACTCATATAATATAAAAGTAGACGAATTTTGTATTTATTGAACGTTTCTATTTTATTGTGTACAAAAATATTATATACAAATAGAGGGGAGGAAAATTTCATTCAGGTTATTTGCTTTTCCACTCTATTACGTTAAATTTATCAAACACGTGTACATATATTTTGTTTTTTTTTTTTTGTGTTTTCGAAAATCCTTTTCATAAAGAAAAGGATATTGTCCGCTATTATAACTACAAAGGATTTGTTTCAAATTCTTGTTTTTTTTTTTGTTTTGTGTTCTTGTTGTTTGCATTTTTTTTTGTTTTATATTTAGACAACTCAAAAGTAATATTCATGTTTTCTATTCTATTTTTTTTTTGTTTTTAATTCTTAAATACACACTTATATACATAAAGAATTTGTTTTTTTTGAATTCAAATGAAAAGAAGCTATTCAATCATGAAAACTGTTGAATTCAGTGTTTCAGACAATGAAAAATAAAAAAAAAATTTTATTTTATTTTTAGATGCTGTATATGAAAATTGATCAGGAAAAATTGAATGTAAATTTAAGAGAAAATTTTATAAAATTCTTTAAAATACAAAACGAAGTATTTCATTTTTTTTAATTGAATATTGAAGGAAAATTATTTAAAAATTTTAAAAATAATATTAATAAATGTTTAATTAATGAAATAATGTATGAAAGGTTAATGAAATTCTTGAAAATTAATACAGAAATGTTCTAAGACTATTCACTCTTGCAACTTTTATTCAGTAAGAATTCACAGTAATTCAGTTGGCATTCCTTCATCGATACGTAATCTAAACGCACTTACTAAATTTTAAGTGGTCAAAGTAAGCAAAATAAAGAATATTTTGACTATCAAATAAATTCATTAAATACCAAAAAATACTCAAGTCATTTTTAACCAAAGATAACATAAGAATTTCTTATTTCATATTATAGCAACATTAATAACCAAATGTGTCGGGTATTACAATTTTTTAATATGCAAATTTATTTACATATTTACATTTGTATGCGAGTTTCCTTGATAAATTTTACTTTTAGCTGCCTGAGAAAAGAGTAAAGAGAAAAGAGTAAACTAATGATGAAGAAATAATCAATGAATTCTTAGAGTAAAGTTTAATTAAAAAAGTAATGAAGTCAATACTAAAACGATCCCTAAAATATTTCAAATTTTTATAGAAAAATTTTGTCCAACCGATTTTGAACACTATGTGCATTGCTGTAACTATTTCCAAAATAAATTAAATTAAACTAATTACGATAATTATTTCTATGTCGTTTATAGTCGATTTTAGCTGAAGTTTAAAGCTCATTCAGGAGATTTTTAAAGCTCTAGCAAAAATACTCATGCTATTTTTTTTATACGTATATAAAAATATCATCGAATTTTAGAGAAACTCTAGAAGTTTTACACCAAACACTACCTGCTTCTTCATCTTTATGCTTGTAGATAAACTTATGAGGTCCCTATAAATTTAATTAAGATTTTCATCTTTATTAAGTTTATAGTGGGTTCTTTCCAACTTTTCGTTAAATAAGTCAATAATGTAATAATATAAATAAGCAAGTGGCATTAATCGGCTTTCTTGTTGCTTTTCAAATTATTCGTCCTTAAAATTAATTTTTCTGAAGACATTTTCTCATACAACTTTGAAAGAAGTTATAAGAACTTAATATAATTTTCTTACTACTATACCACTACTATACCATTTATTTTCTAGATTTTTTAATTTTTCTAATGTTTTTTTCGGATCCCAACCATTTGTTTACTTATTTTCCTACTCTGCTTTACATTATTTTCCAGACTAAATCATGTGTAATAAATAAATTTCAAAATGGATGACAATTTAAATTTCTTTGAATATTTTTCGATTTATTTTTACTATGCATGTAAAAGACTGGGGAATGATTTTTTCATCAGAACATTTACTTGAAAAATTGCAATTTAATGATAATTTAATTTATTAAAAATATTTTCAATAGTTTTATATTTCCTATAAGAAAACAAAAAATATAAAAAAAGCACCTTGATTTCAATTCAACTATATGCAATTTATGCAAGTTGTTTTTGCAAAAACAAAACATATATACATATATTATGTAAATTCCTTTTTAGCACTTTTCCAAAAAATTTTTTGAAAAAAGTGCTTATTAGTTTCACTCTGTCCGTCCGTCCGTCCGTCCGTCCGTCCGTCCGTCCGTCCGTCCGTCCGTCCGTCCGTCCGTCCGTCCGTCCGTCCGTCCGTCCGTCCGTGTGTCTGTTTACAAAACTTCTACATTCTTAAAGATAGAAAGCTGAAATTTAATACGTACATAGATATTTACCAGAAACTTATTTTCGTAGAACAAAATTTTTACCTATCTCCCCCCCTCTAGAAGTTATACCCCCCCAAAGCACTAAAAACGGCCTATTTTAACTATTTGTTGCAATGAAACCATAAGCATTTTTGAAATTTTGCAAACGCAGAAAGGCAGTGCGTTGCTTCACCTACCGCGGTATACTATAGTTAAACTTTAGAAAAGCAAAATGGCCGTTCAAATTTACCGTTATTTAAAGTCCTTTTTTTCCAAATTTTTGATGTCGTTTTTCTTCTAGACCCCAGACTGTAGAAGCTTGAAATTTTAGGAGCTTTTAGATATTAATAAATAGTTCATTTTGTTAGAAGAAAATTTTTTTCCATCTCCACCCCCTCTCAAGTTATCACCTCTTGAAATTCGTAAAATTTGAACTTTTGACACCTTATATTTCCGAAACCGTAAGCTTTTCCAAATTTTTATAAACGCAAAAAGCTAACGGTAAATTCCATGAAATTAAAAAATATAATTATTTTTCTTAACTCACACAATTAACCCTTAAAATCGAGCATTATGTTAACCCCTTTTTAGCACTTTTCCAAAAAATTTTTTGAAAAAAGTGCTTATTAGTTTCACTCTGTCCGTCCGTCCGTCCGTGGACACTTTTTTTGTTTACAAAACTTCTACACCCTTTAAGATAGAAAGCTGAAATTTCATACGTACATAGATCTTTACTAGAAACTTATTTCCGTAGAACAAAATTTTTACCTATCTCCCCCCCTCTAGAAGTTATACCCCCCCAAAACCCTAAAAATGGCCTTTTTTAAATATTTGTTGCAATGAAACCATAAGCATTTTTGAAATTTTGCAAACGCAGAAAGGCAGTGGCTTGCTTCCCCTAGCGCGTTATACTATAGTTAAACTTTAGAAAAACAAAATGGCCGTTCAAATTTACCGTTATCTAAAGTCCTTTTTTGCCAAATTTTTGATGTCATTTTTCTTCTAGACCCCAGCCTGTAGAAGCTTGAAATTTTATGGGCTTTTAGACATTAACAAATAGTTCATTTCGTTAGAAGAAAATTTTTTTCCATCTCCACCCCATCTCAAGTTATCACCTCTTGAAATTTGTAAAATTTGAATTTTTGACACCTTATATTTCCAAAACCGCAAGCTTTTCCAAATTTTTATAAACGCAAAAAGCTAACGGTAAATTCCATGAAATTAAAAAATATAATTATTTCTCTTAACTCACACAATTAACCCTTAAAATCGAGCATTATGTTAACCCCTTTTTATATTAATTTTTGCTTTATTTCAAACACTGCATATATGCGTCATCCTAAATATATGCAATTCTAGAAATAGTTTTGTACATGAATGAAAATAATTTTAATAGTTTGATAGGTATACATAGACTGTATTTAAAAGCAGAATTTTCACTTGTTGAAGGGAAAAGTGCTACAATACAAACCATTGGTTTGACCCAACTTTATTATATTAATTTTTGCTTTATTTCAAAGACTGCATATATGCGTCATCCTAAATATATGCAATCCTAGAAATAGTTTTGTATATGAATGAAAATAATTTTAATAGTGTGATAGCTATATACATAGACTGTATTTAAAAGCAGAATTTTCACTTGTTGAAGGGAAAAGTGCTACAATACAAACCATTGGTTTGACCCAACTTTATTATAAGAAAATGTTCTGATACATAATTCAACAAAATTATGAAGTCCTATGTCTTTGATTTTATAATTTGTTTAATATTTAACTATAATTTCATACGTTGATTTTACTATAATTTCTTTGAAAATAAATTGGATGAAAAAGTTGAATCAAGAATTTTATAAAATATTTTCAATAACATGGCTTTTATATTTGAGAAATAAGCAGAATGGTACAAAGAATTTATTACACTAAGTTGGATTGTTATATCAAATTAAAAAAAATCAAAAACATAATTAGTTAATAACAGAATTAGTTATTTGAAAAACAGAAACAAATTATTTGAGAATGGACTCTACGAAGTCTCTTAGATTTGTTTTTAAAAATTTGTTTTCAAAAATATTTGAAATTAGTGCGATTCGCACTAGGGGCTTCTAATTGCCAATAAATTACAGAATTTAAATTAATATTTCATTTTAAATTAACTAGATATGCACTAAATTTGTGTTTAAAATATTCAACATTATTCTATACTATACATATCAAGCACAAATTAATAATACTAAATAAGTACGCCGTACGCATATAACATTTTTAATTAATTCGTAAAGAGTAATAAAAAATATGAAATAATAAAAACCGCAAATGTAAACCACAAACTCTTATTTAAACATTATATTTTATTTTAGATTCGCTTATTCCTTAATTATAAAATTAATTAATTTACAACATATATAGTTAGTTTTGAAAAAGAAAATTAAATATGCAATTGAAAATATGTTTGCGTATATTTTATACACTTAACTTATAATTTAAAAAAAGAAGAAATGAAATAGGTAAACCATAATTCATTCCCATATACATAATTAATAATTAAAAAAAAAAAAGAAAAAATTAAAAAAATTTCAAGATCACTGTAGAACAACAACAACATAAATGATTATCAGACATCAAATTTTTACAAAACTTATACGTATACACATACGAGTATAATATTCGTGGATCTTAACTATATTTTGTTATACAATTAAAAAATTCTTTAAAATATCAAAATTTATACAAAATGTGCGTTAATTTTTTTAAACTAAAATTAGTAAATAATTAATTTTCTTTTTTTTTTTAAATTAATAATACAATGTTAAAATCAAATATAAACCTAAAATATTGAATATTGAAATTTTAAGAATATTAGAACTACTACATAAATTTTCTGGTGGTAAAATATTACCATCTAGTGTTTCAATTACTTCAACATCATTACTTAAACTTAATAGCTTAACACCATCTAAACTTAAATCGAAAGCAGAATCTGGTAATGGTGGTATATAATTATCTGGTCTCTCATCAGGTAAAAATCCATAAACTTCCATATTTGCATTTAATTCAAATGAAACATCATTTATTGTAGCTTTTAAAGAATGTGGAGTTAATTTGGAATATGTTGCTGTTGCTGTTCTTGACTAAAAACAATAATAATAAATAGAAAAATTTTAATCATTTTGTACAAGGAATTTTTTGTTTCAATTTTTCTTTTTTCGAATACAACACTTACTGTTAAGGCTGTGAAAATTACACATGTAATGTAATTATTATCAATATAATAAAATGTCACTGAATGATCTGTTCGTGTATCAGAAAGACCAGATGATTTTTTTTCCGTATAAAGTAAATGGTCACCTATTTGGAGAGAAAAAGAAAATAAAAATTCAATATTTTATAAAAAAATTTAGATAATATTTTTATTAAGTTATAAACAATTTTATATTCGACAATTTCTGTGTTAATTGAAAAATCTAATCGTGCCATTGCTGGTTTTACCGGTTTTAAATTAAAACAAATTAGAATTGATAGTTTTATAATAATTGCTTTAATAAATTTATTAAATTCACCTATTTAGCTTATACTGATCCGTAACTAAGAAATAGGGCGAATCTGTATAAACTTAAATATACTTAACATTTACGAGTAATTTCACGAATTGGTGTTGTTATAGAATTTATTTTACAATCTAAAGTAAGATAAAATATGTACTATTTATAAATAGCCTAAATATTTAGATCTCCTTGAACAAATTTTATAGTAAAAAAAAATATATCTATGCAACAAAATTTTCTTTACAATTTTCCTCACATGCTAATAACACTTGTTTAAGAAAATAATTTCCTCGTCCTTATTCTCTATTTCCTTTCAAATATAGGTATATATAAAAATTTTCTATTTATAAAAATGTAAAATTCAAATTTTTTAAACAAATTTTTTCTTATGTTCCAACCAAAATGCACACTTACATACAAGCAATAAATGAATTTTAACCTCTAAAAATATTTTTCTTTTTTTTTCATTTTTCTTGTAATTCGTAATAAAAATAGGATATACTTAATAAAAATGCCTTTTGAGTGGCTCTTGAAAGCGTTTACTTAATTTTTTAAGTAGCTATCTCTTCACACAACATTATAAATGTGATCTCTTTAACAAGAATTTTTATTTATTCTGTTATTTAATTAAAAAAAAAAATAATTATTATTTTTTATTTTAATTTTTTTCTAAACGTTTCTGCTACTTTATGCTATTTAGAATTGTTATACAAATTTAAAGAAAATATACAAATATGTATGTATGTATATATTTCCGGAAATTTTAAATATGAAATATAAAATTTTATTAAGTAGACACATAATCATTATTAATGGTTATTATTTTTTTTTTGTATACATATTTACCGTCTATTTATTTTTGTAAAAACGTTTATTTTGTTAATTTTATACATATATTCATTTAATATAATATATGTATGTATAAATGTATAAAACCAACATGTATGTACTTGCATTTGAAAAATTTTTGCATTAACTCAAGAACACTGTAATATTCTTATAACATTTTTATATATGTATGTACATATGTAGCTATTTTCGGCATATAAATAAATAAATAAATATGTGCATAATAATAAGTTTCTATAAATTTTATGATCTGATATGAATCTCTTTTAAAATAAAAAGGAGAATTAAAATTTATTTAAATTTATTGTCAAAATACAGTCAAACAGAAGAAAATTTCAGAAACAGTCAAAAATTTTTTACTTCAATTTTCTTAAAATTTCAAAATAATAAATTTTTACTTTAGATTTTTGTACAATTTTTCCGACAGGATCTTTTAACTTATCCAAAATATATGACAACATTCATTTTTGAAATGTCATATTGAAATTAAAATTGTTTTTCGAAATAAAATTTGACATAAAAACAAAAATATTTCAATTTGACAAATTATGTTGTTATATTCAATGGCAACATTGTTGCTACACAATATTTAATATAGCGTTTTCAATTTATGAATAATAACATTTTCTCAAAAACTATTATTAAATCGTTTCGCATTTGCGCAGAACTAATTTAAATTTTTTCCTTTAATATATGAAAGAATATAAAATCATGAACGTTAACATTAAATAACATTCAAGATAGAATTTCAAGGATTTACGGTTCTTGTACCGTTATGATAATACACCAGGAAAAAATAGAAATAAAATATTAAAGAGTTTTACTGTATTTTCATTTATGTAAATTCACCTTGAATATCAAAGAAAAGAAATAAAAAAATATTAATAAAATTGAGAAAAACAATCGCTTCAATTGAAAACTACAATTTTTTATAATATATGAATTTCAATTTCAAATAATCAATTGAATAATATGTAAATATGTGAACATTATAATTGATTTGTATCAATTATATATATATATATATATTCTTATAATATAATATGTATCTAGGTAGATAATATTGCCTTTATGTGGTTATTACTGGAATGAATATTAATTTGAATGATGAAATAGAATTCTATCAATAATTTTGAAATTTTCAAAATATTTATATAAATTCAGATCAAATATAAAAGACTAATTTATTAGACTGTAATTGTACTTACATTACTTACACACAAACAATAACAACGTGTAGTTTCTTTTATTTTTTTTTTTTTTGAAAAATTCTTATAGAAATAAATAATAAAAACATCTTCATACAACTTCAAAATGCAAGGATAACTTAGCAAATGCAACGAGTATAGAAAAAAAAATTGAACTACTTCTTGTTATTTTTAGTACTTCACTACAATAAAAATTTACGCAATATTATAATAGGCAATATTCTATTAAAATTTATTCTCCTAATTATCGAAAATGATCGAATCCACCTCCTGTAAACATTACACGTAGTTATGTCGATTACTGCAGAAGAGCAATGTGGTGAATAATTTCCTGATAATGTCTTCATACCCCGAAATTTCCCTTTCAGAGTATGTACGGGTAGAATGCAATATAGTTTACTGGTTTGAGTGCATCACGAGATGACGTTTCTGCGGCTCACACATTCTTCTGTTTTGCAGTTGTATGAAGATGCTTTGATTATTTATTACCACGAGTATAGTTTATTACTTCCTTAAAGTATTTTAATTCTCAATTTTATGAATGGCCTTATGAATAAAATGAAAGTACAAATATATGAAAAAAAAAAACAAATTTTAATAAATTTAAAACCACTTTAGAATTAGTAAAATTTCAAATATCTCAGTCTCAATATCAATTTTAATATTCATTTGATAGTTTATACATGATTACATGAAAAATCTAAATTTCCTTTTAATGTTTTCAATACAATTTCCATTTGAAATGTAGAAAAGAGATTTTTTGTTTATTTTTTACATACTTAATTATAATTTTCTATTTTTAATTTTTTTTTTTTGAATATAACACGCAAATTATTTAATTTAGATACTTAAAATTTCCATTTACTTAAAAATTAATATGAATTTCTTTTTAAATATTCCAGAAATAAACAAAAATCTATTTCAAATTATGATTATAAACAAAATTTTTAATTAATTTCAGATAAAAGTTTTAGGTATTTTATAAACTATTTAAATTATTTTTTGTTGTTACGATTTTATACTTTAAAACAGAACTAAAAAACTTAATGTCATTTTTAAAATTATTTCTTTTAATTTACCTGGTTGTCTGTTTCCAATCACTACAACATTATCTTCATCATTTTCAATTTCATCAAAATAATTATCTTCAATATGATTTGGTTCAACTTTTGATTGATAAACTAATTTTGGTATTAAAATTGAATCAAGATATTTTGTATCCTCGTTTCGTTCAAAACCATAAACTGATATTTTAAAATCAAAACTTTTTGGTTCTAATGCTGTAACAGTGCCAGTTAAAAAGCCACCTTCTTCTTCATCTGTTACTCCAAGAGAAAACTCGAAACCAACATTCTAAAATTAAATAGAAGTAAAAAATATCTTAGTTAAAAATATTTAAATTTAAAATAAGAAGATAATAAAGATATTTGAAAAAAAACCTAAAATTTATTAATATTGAAATTAAATACGCTTATTCAATTTTATTAAATTACCGCACGCACACCAAATGTTTATGTAAAAACTGAAATTGTATCATAGTTTTCTCATAAAATATCAAATACAAACTCACACCTTTTTATATTTTATAAATATATTTACATTTTAATATAATTTTATGTATATATAGAATATGTATAATATTTTTAATAAAAACTTACACTATCTGATCCAAGCTCAATATATGTTACAATTCGATTTTTTATCGGATAATGAAATTTAATGCTATTATTTGAATTCTCTCTTCTATATGGACTCCTCAATACATCTTTTATTATTAATTCATCACCTAAAAGCATACAATATGAAAAAGAAAGAAAATGAGAAAAACCAATAAATAATAAATAGAGATAAAAGATAAAATAATCATATAAGATAAATAAGTTTATACAAAAATGAAATATGCATACACACAGGGGCGGAATAAAGCCATAGATGAAAATACCACAATTTTTTTGTATGGAGAAGCAGAGAGAAAAGGGCTTATTGACAACAAATTTCGATGAGTCGCCCCTTGTAAATTAAATTGTAAACTAAAATTGAGAACTAAAAAGAAAACTTCTGTTCATTTAAATTTTTATACAAAGCTTATATTATATGGCTTTCGCCGAAAATACCACAATTTTTTTGTATGGAGAAGCAGAGAGAAAAGGGCTTATTGACAACAAATTTCGATGAGTCGCCCCTTGTAAATTAAATTGTAAACTAAAATTGAGAACTAAAAAGAAAACTTCTGTTTATTTAAATTTTTATACAAAGCTTATATTATATGGCTTTCGCCAAATTTTTCTTCCAGCAAGTATCATTAAGAAACTTTATTATTTTTTGTTTCTAAGGACTTTTAACTTTAATTTCTATATTATACAATTTTCACACATAGTGATTTAAGTATACTACATAAACCATATCGATTCGAAATTGTATATATTTCAAAATTAAGCTGAATCATTTGGAACCCAATTTTATTGCTACTTGAGTCCGAATCTGCATATTTATAGATCCGCCACTGCATATACACAATACACATTATACATATGTAATATAAATATTTTTGTACAGGAAGAAAAAAAAAACATATATATATCAAAAATTCATCAAAAAAATTGGATTTCCATAGAATATAAAAGTAAATTTGTAATCAATATAAAAAGAATGATTGTTTTTCATGTCATTCCGTTGATTGTTATTTATTTATAAAATACAAGTTAACCCTGAACCTCTTGATGTAATATAATTTTATTTTAAAGGTTTTCATTCTGTTCAATATATTATAATAAATACAAGGTAGGATTGCTTTTGCCCTATTTATTTATTTCAATATATAGTATTACAATATTTAGTATTATAATATATAGGTACATACGTGTGAGTATATGAAATTAGGAAAATATCAAAGTTGTTAATTGAAGGAAAAAACATTCCTACTTTTTATGTCTCTATTAAACTTTTTTAAGGTAAAATGCTTTATTATAATTTTATATTAGAATTCGTATAACAAAAAACAATGTTTCATATATAGAAAAGATGTTTTTAATTTTTTAAAATTACAAGTTTAACGAAATATATTTGTAAAAATATTTGAAAAATTTCAATCCAAAATTATAGAATTATAGACAATGAACGATTAATGAACCATATAAGGATATAGGTATTCAAAATATTCATCTAAAATCTTTTAACCATAACAATATTGCCTAATAGGGTCAACAATCACTAAATAGAATGAAATTTTTTGGAATGTTTGTTTAAATGTACGTATATATACATATGTATGTATATGCGGTCAATGTGCCTTTATTATAACGAAATCAAAATAACCTAATCATAAAAATATTTACACTCAAAACTATTTTCACTGTTTAATATTATAACTTGAACCAGAAAATAATTTTTATATATCAAATATGTATGTGTGTATTCAAAATTGCAAATAATTTTAAAAGCGTATACAAGTTGCTTTGTAAATGCATACTTACTTATGTAAATGTTATATATAGAGATGTTCGACCGTTTTTATTTAACATCAAATCGAACGTCAATTACTTTAACCTAACAATTCACATAGGCATATTCCAAGTGTTTTGAGTAAATTACGACTCTGCGTTATGAGGACTGACTTTTATCTAGAAATTTAGAGCCTAATCTAGCTAAAGACTCAGTGATTTTCTTCGTTTATGCATACTTAATATAAATATTTACACATTAATTTCAAACCTGCATAATTTCATTATTCTACTTTTGAGATTTTTTTATTTTCATAGATACTTCTACTGCTTACAACACAAGGATATTTCACACAAACGAAATATTGAAAATTTTACAAAAATTCTTTATGTATAGAATAAGCGATAAAAGTTAAAAAAAATACCAAATTTTCATTCAACTTCTTGTTTCTTATTTGTTTTGCTAATTTATTCAAAAAATACTTAAACGCGTTAACAAGATTTATTTGATTGTGAAAAAAGAACAATATAAAAAAAATTGGAAAAATTTTAAACATTTCTTCTAGACGATTTTTCGCATAAATTTACAATTTCTCATTTAATAAATTCATAAACTTCTTAATAAAATTGTTTTGAAGTTAATAAATTGCTAAGGTTTAAAATATTTATAATATGTAAGAATATTGTAAAAATATTTAAATGTAAGCTAAATTTTATTGAGTAAGCAATAGTCTGAATCTACTAAAGATGATCTGTTTTACAACATAAGGAAATATTAAGATGTGAATCAAATTACCTTCGTACACTTATATTAATTTTGAATGGTTAGAATATTGAGGTTAAAAATTAAATTTTAAATTTTAATATCATATCTACATATATTTTTATTTACCTGCATAATTGTGTATGTATGTTCAATTACTTGCATATATTTGTGAAATAAATCATAATATTAATTATTCCTTTTCTGAAATATTCATTTGATTTCATGCAACATTAAAATAAAGTCGTACAAATAAATTAAGCTAACAATAAAATTATTGATGCAAATGCAAAATTTAAAATATCCTGACATTTTTTTATTGTTATATGTAATTATTTTATTTCTTTATTTAAATATTGTGATATGCATATATAATATTTATTATTAAATATACATAAGTATGGAATTGAGTATAAATTATGTAGAACCATTACATTGATTTTATTTTAATTCTTATAGCTGCTACATACGTTATTGCATAAAATAATATCATGCAAATAATTGCAAAGTACAAACTTGATATGTGTGTATATGTATATAAAATGTTAAAAAATAAATTTAATTACGTCTATACGTACATAAATACGAAGAGTGTTTTTGAAATTCTTATTCGCGTTTCAATACTTTAAGTGCATTTTTAAAATTCTCTACATAAAAATTACATCATAAATGAATACAGTTCGCGGCGAGTTTTTACGATTATATTTCAAAATCAAAATAACTTATAACTTATAAATAAAATAACTTATAAGAACATATTTACTATACACCTTAAAAATCTCTTTATAATGGCTTATTTGTGGAGACTTGTCACTTCAATAAGTTAATACATCGTAAAAAGCTGATTTATATCGTAAAAACTTCGAAATATTTAATGTGTTAATCAATGACTTTTATTTACAATTGTAGTTCTTAATTGTTACAGTAAACATCACTGCTGTACATCATATGCTTCTCAGAATACCCTGCATTATTTAATTACATTTCTCCTTTACTAAGAGTTTACATAGATTCTCATATACTAAGAGTATTTTCATTAGAACCATCCCGAAATATTTCTATACGTTTTATTGCAAATATTTTTAGATACGCAATAAATATATAAACATACACATCGAGGGATTTATATACATGTTATGTAAATAAGTCACGACAGAAATTTTTAATGCTACAAAATATTAATGTACTTTTTTCATTCATTACTTATACAACCACCTTAAGAACAACTTATTTAAATTGCTGAAAAAAAAAATTATAAAATTTCATTTATTTTAAATCTTTTTAATTAAAAAAATAATTTTTGTATTTCGCACAATAAATTTCAGTATTAAGAGAAGCAAAATACTTAATATTAATTATTATTTGTAAATTTTAATAATCTTTATGTCTCTTTTGATTAATAAGTCAAATGGAATAAATGGTTTGGCGAATTTAACTCGAAAATAAATTCTACACATAAAATATAGGACTGGAATAAAGATATTTCTATTTTTAATAACCCATTAAAAATTTATAAAAATTATTTTATCGCAAAAAAATAAAATTTTCATCCTTAACTTCAAAATTAAATGTTAATGAACTTTTATAATATGATGCTTTATAGAAATTTTTATAGATTCATCTATATACAAAATCATATTAAATAGGCATTAATTATTTTTTTGTTCAGATGTTATTAGCAATTCTAGAATGCCTATCTTAAATTTGAAAGGAACTCAATGTTCACGCATAGTGAATTTATACTTCCATTTCCAATATTAGAACGTAAAGATGTACATAACATATATACATATGTATTTTACCAATGCCCACTGGTGATATGTAATAAGCCGCACATCCTCAATATTTCAAGTAATGTAAGTAATAATTACACATTTGGTTTAACCTCCGAATCCACAAATTTTGAAAAATGTTAATCTTTTGTCGGCGATTTTTTCTAAAATAAGTAGAAATATTATGAAGTTTATCATACTTTAATAATACCAAAAAAGTAACAAGTTACATGATCCGACTACAAAATATTATTTAAAGGTACGGAAAATTGCACATACATACTACTTTATCTTAAGTGAAATATCAATTTCAATGTTTTTCTAATCTATATTTTTGCTTTGAATTATAATTTTGTATTTCCTCCTAGGTATATGCAATATGATTTCGTAACCAAACTTTGTTTTTAGAACCGATTTATACATAACATGAACTTGTTTTTAAAAAATATTATTGTGTTCGCTCTTCTTTAATAATATTTTGTTTTTATATCGTAATGCATTCGATTTTTTTGCACCAAAATAAAATTTTTAAAATACAAGTTCTAACAATTTTGTGTTATGGGCATAGAACATTTCTCAACTTACGTATTTATTGTAACATTTTTCATAACCATCATTTTAATTAATGTGCTATATTCATGAAATACCTTTCTTGCCCACAAAATATTCTTTGGATTTTTACTCAAATAAAATATTTAAAAAGTATGTGCTTATTCGGACCCAACAAATTATTTAATACTATTAATAATTTTTTCATAAAATTTTGTTATTTGACAATTTTATAACAAAATTTATATACCACCTATTAAAG